CTAGTTTTCATAAATATAAACCATTTGTTATTAGGAGTTGTATAAAAAATATTATGGTGGATATACTATAGGCTGTCAGGGAAGAGTTTGGAAATCTCTATTGCATATGGTTGACTTTGGAAGCTTATATCTAGAAATATATAAGGAATTGGTAGATGCAAAACAAATACAAGTTGTAACCCTTGGTGTCTAGTATTCAGAAAGTTTAACCATTTGTAATTTGGAGTTTTGTACATAACGTTATGACCAATATACTAGAGGTTGTCTCGAAGAGTTGGGGGAGTTTGTTCTTCGCGATCACGAATAGTTTTCCGCGATCGCGAAGAGCAATTTTGGGGCTGAAATATTTTGTGCTTCGCGATCGCGAAGAGTAAATGCCTGGACAGAAGATATATTTCGAGGTTTCGGCCATTTTAACATATTTGGAGCTATGGAGATAGGATTGAAGCGATTTTTGAGGCGATTTTCACCATATGGATTGAGGTAAGTGATTCTCACTCGGTTTTGGTTAAATTACACTAATCTATTATTATTTTTATCAACAAATTAATGTTTTGGGTTGAAAATAGTAGAAATATTCATAAATTTTAATTGAGGATTTGAAGGCCGAGTTGTGGTCGGATTTGACTAATTTTGATATGGTTGGACTCGTGGTTGAATGTGGGTTCGGATTTTGTGAGTTTTATCGGATTCTGAGATGTGGGCCCCACGGAAATTTTTTGGGGCGTAATTTCGGATTTTTTTTAAAAAATATTAGTATTTTGATATGGAATTAATTCCTATAATTTTTGTGAGCTGAATCAAATTAATTGGGACTAGATTCGAGCCGTTTGGAAGTTGATACGCTCAGAATAGAATTTCTGGAGCATTGCTTAGCTTTCTCGACATTGGATTTGGCTTGTTCGAGGTAAGTAACTCTTGTAATCTTGGAGTTGAGGGTATAAACCCTGAATATATGTATTTCATGAATTGTTGGGAGGTGATGCACATGTTAGGTGACGGGCGTGTGGGCGTGCACTATAGAAATTGGGACATAATTATTTCTGTGAAATTTTGTAGTTAAATAATCTTGGCATTTTTATGCGGTTTTATGAGTTAAAGAAATTGAGCTGAAAAGCATATTAAAAAAAATAATCATGTTGAGGTTATGTGCCAGTATTATTGGGACCCACATAGGTCATATTATTGTGAAATATTTATTTTAAAATGAAAATTCATACTCAGTCATATTCATTTCATTGCATATCATATCTCAGTCTCTGTTGTTATTTATTGATACATGATATCACCATTTTTGGCTATTCTCATGACATTGTGAGCCAATGAAAGAGAGACTAGAGAGATTGATGACTGAGGGAGGCCGAATGTATGATTGTGAGGATATTTTTGGGATCGGACTGCACGCCGCAGCAAGCGATGTTGGCTTTATATATATTATATTATTATTGCACGTGAGTTGGCCGTGTAGCACGTGAGTTAGCTGTGCGGATCCTTATATTATTATTGCACGTGAGTTGGCCGTGCAGCACGTGAGTTGGCCGTGCGGATCCAGATATTTATGTTATGACACGTGAGTTGTCTGTGCAGCACGTGAGTTGTCCGTGCTTATAGCGCTTGGTCTGTAGGAGCCCCTCATGAGTCTGCACACTCCCAGTGAGCTCAGTCGACTATAAACAGGGATCGGGCTGCACGGCGCATCATGTATTGTATAGCGCTGAGTGATTGAGTGTGCTGAGCACAGTAAGAGAGAATTGCGAGAAAATGAGATTGAGTACTCTGAGAGAGTGTGAGTACATGAGTGCAATCTCTGAGATACATTGCATTGACATGCATACATGGGATATATGCATAGAGATGTGTTTTCTCATGCTGTACGGTATCACATTATTCATGATTTCTCACACATACTGACAGATGGGCATAATGATGCATTTGTTTTACACTGGTTATCTGGGAAAGAAAATGAGATATTTTATTTATTATTGAAAAGGTTTTTGGAAAAATTAATTGCTTTCAAACTTATTCATATTTTTGGTAATTTCGGCAATCGATTTGGGTTTTCACTGATGTATTTGAAAGGAAGAACTATTATTTTTGAAATCATGATTTGGCTGAGTATTTTATCTATGTGTTTCTTCTGGTATTATTTATTTTATGTTGTTATGGACTGGTGTGGACTAGTGGTTTTGGACCCCGACCTTGGTAGAAGCTCGTCACTGCTTTCAACCTAAGGTTAGAGTTGTTACTTACTCAGTACATGGGGTCGGTTGTAGTGATACTACACTTCGGCACATTGTGTGCAGATGTTGGCTGTTATTGTTGCTGTGCTCGATGGTTGCGGGATTAAAGATGTACCTGCGTTCCTGTTGTAGCTGCCTCTTGTTCAGGGTAACATTAGATTTATAAAAGCTATATTTATGTATTATTCAAACAGACTATGTATTTAATTCATTTTCGCTTTGTATACTCTATTTTTAGAAGCTCATGATTTGTACTATCAATTCTTGGGGATTGTATAAGATCAGGATCTTTATTCACTTAAATTACTTTAATAATTATTAGTGAAATTAGTTAGTTAGAAATTGGCTTACCTAATGGGATGAGTTAGGTGCCATCATGACTAGTTGGATTTTGGGTCGTGACATAAATAAATATACATATTCAATATATGCATTATGTATATTTAATGTATAATTATATATACTTGATGAGATCAATATATAGTTTAAGTATATTTGACATTTGAAATATATACCCCGCATATGTGATATATTTTAAATTTATATTTGATGTACATTATGTACAAACAATAACATATAAGTGTATAAATATACTATTAGGATATTGAAACAAACACATTTACTATGGAAATAACTTTAAGTTTACATATCCATAAAATACTTATAATATTTCATTAATCTAATTATATCTTTATTACTATATACGAAAATAGCAACTAAAAAATTAAAATAAGTGCTATTTTCCTTTGGATGATTCGTACATATATGCTTTTTGGGCGTGACATTAATATTAGAAGAGAGATATGTGTTGAAGGTAATTAAATGGGTTGTATAATCTGATCAAACGTTTTGGTAGAGATGAGTATTAATAGGACTAATTTTAAGTAATTAATAGGACTGATTTTCAGTCCTTTGTTTGATTAGAATATGTTCACACATGTGAAAACTTAATTTTTGGTCCAACATTATATGTTTTGGTCAGGACTGTAATTAATTAGGTGCTAGTTTGTTAATTACTAATTCCTGCTAGGATTCTGAAATTTTTCTTGAATATTGCCTAATTATGTTTTTTCCCCATTTATTTTTATGATCCACAATATTTAATTTTTTCAAATATCAAGAAGGAATTAACTTTTTTTTTCAAAGTTACTTTGGAGTAAAGAGCCTATGAGTACTTTGTTATATTTTGAATGAGCAAATTAAGATTAATATGATCAATTTTATTATTAATTAATGTTAAAAGATGAATTCTTTAATACGTGTGAAAAGCGCCAAAAAATTACTTAAAATGGACCGGAGGGAGTAACATGTTACGCGTAGGTCTTGAGATACTCGTGAAATGAAAAAATTTAAAAAGGATATTGAGACATCGACACGATGCATAGTTAGAAACTACAAAAAGGTTATAATTTCTTAATTTGAGCCTAATGATTTCCTCCCTCCCCCCTCCAACCTCCCATTTCACTCCTTTGTTTTACTAACGATGCTTATTTAATGACACTTTTTGCGATTTTTAAATATTTTTAGCGAATTCTTTTATTAGCAAACACTTTTTGTAGTTTCCTACTGTAAATAATATTTACAGAACTAAAAAGTTGAAATTTGCATTACGAAAATTTAATCATTTTAATAATTATATTGTCTAATCCAAAAAATAATTTTGATGGTCAAAAAAATTAATTTATATTTCGGGACACTAACAACCAATTTAACTCATTTTCCAAATATAAGCAACATAAAAGAAAAGAATAGTAATTGAACGAAAATAATTGAGAAGTAAAAGAAAATAGAAATCTTACTGACGTTGATAGCGCTTCTTCCATGTAGACACAATATTGATCTGCCAGAAATAGAATAGTACGACTCTACAATGTAATTGAGAGAGCAAGTGAATAATTTTCAGATGTGAGATATAATATAAGGGATATGGGTTAAATATGTATTTTTACCCGTAATGATTTTTTTATTCAGCTTCTGCATGTTACTGCTATTTATTGCATTTATTATACGTTATATAACTGACACGTAATTTATGATTATGTAACTTGATCTGAAAATAAATACTTACTTGGTGCTTCAATGCAATCCTTGCAATGTATGTTATTCAAAAAAATACAAAATCATATTCCATCCGGTCCACTTTAAGTGATTTTTTTATCATTTTTTTTGTAATCCACAATATTTGATTTTTTCAGATATCAAGAAGGAATTAACTTCTCATTTCCAAAGTTGTCTTTGGAGTAAAAAATCTAGAAATCGTTTGTTATATTTTCAATGAGCAAATTAAGATTAATATGATTAATTTTATTATTAATTAATACCAAAAAATAAATTTATTAATATATATAAAAAAAGCTAAAAAAATCAATTAAAGTGAACTAGAGAGAATATTAACTTTTCCAGAATAATATTGTAAGTGGGTCTTTTTGGAGGAAGACAGTAAAAATATTATAGTAGTAAAGTCGTATACATTTACGGTGAGAAAGGTAAACAAAGAAACTAAGTATTGCGGATTCCAAATAGGAAGTGAAAAAATCTATATAATTTTTTTTATTAGAGAAGACAAAAAGAGATTTTTTTTTTTTTGTCAAACAATTATTAGGAGATATATTTCCTTGTAATCAAAATAAGTAGGAGTAGTATTTTTTAACTTGAAAATACTTTTTTTTAAATAAACATATAACCTTGATAAAGAGTGGGGCCCCTAATTTTTTGGGGCTAAAGCATGTGCTTTATTGGCTATAGCCGGCGTTGCTAAAATGGGGACCAAGTTTATATTTTTTAGCAAAATTGCTGTATTTTTCTGGTTGTGGGGTTGGTTTTTCTGTGGAAGATAAGCTATTGAAGAAGTTACTACCCTTCAGATCTAGAAGTAAAAGGCAAGAAAATGAAATTATCTTCTTCTAATGTTAAATTTTTTTTCTTTTTTTTTTTCTCTGGTTATAGTGGTTTGGAGCTGATTTTTTTCTTTCTTTTCAGATGAAATGGAGACCAAGTTCATATTTTTGAGCAAATGGCTGTTTTTTTTGTTCTTGGGTTTGGTTTATATGTGAAAGAAAAACCATTGCAGAAGTCACAACCCTTCAAATCTTGGTATTAGATCATTCAAGTATCAAAAAGGCAAGAAACCAAATTATCTTCCTCTTTTACTGTTAATTTTTGTAGTGGGTTTAGCTGATTTTTTTTCTATGTTCAGATGATTGTAATACCTCAAAGTAACAACCTAGCAGTAGCAAAAGGAGTACTTGGTGTTTCAAGTTATGTACCTTCAATTTCTTCTTCAACAGAAGCACCAATTTGCAATAAAGGTTTAACCTTTACAAGAAATGAATCTGTCTCAGTGTTGGATACAAGAAGTCCTAGTCCTTCAGCTTCATCTTCCTCATGCTCTTATGGTGGCCAACATGCTGGAAATAATGGAGTTCCCGGCGCCGGAGCTGGAAAAATTGACGGCCGGAAAGAGGAGTTGGTGACTGAGCTGCAGCCATTTTCATTTGGGTTGGAGCCAGAAAAATTTAATCTTGGATTTGGGGATTTGGATAATTTGTTGCCGGAACTTGCCGGCTCCGACCAGACCATTTTTCGGTGGATCTCCGGCGATATGGAGGACCCATCAGTCAGCTTGAAACAATTACTCCAAGGAGGAAATGCAAATGCTGATTTGGGTGGTGGAGTTTCAGTGGCAGGTTCTTTTGCTTGTACTGATAATATTTCCTTTTCTAGTTCAGATATTTCTTTAGATGCCAACATTGAGAAAATTGGTTATGCTGTCATAGACTCAAACAACAGACCAAATAATAACTTTGAAAATCTGAATGCCAATCTTTTGGCCAAGAGTTTACCCCCTGCTTTGAGCTTTCAAGAACAACAATCAGAAGAGAAGCCTCAAATTTCTTGTCCACAAATAGTGGCAAACCAAACCCAGTTCCAGAATTCCGCTTATGTTAACTTGTTTGGCTCATCATCATACAACATGAATCAAGAACAGCCGCCACCCAAGCGCCACAATTCGGGTATCCTGGGTTCAAGCTTAGGCTTTCTATTGCCTAAAGTTCCGTTCTTTAGTCCCAGTGGTGACTTATTGCTGAGGAAACAACCATTGGGACAAATGCAGCAACAAGTCAATTTGCTGCCTCCTCACCAGTTTCAGCCAACGCCATTATTTGTACCTAAGCTTGAGGCAGCTGGTGGTGGTGGTAATGGTAATTTGGTGGTGCCTCGTCATCAACAGCAGGAACAACAGTTCATTTATGACCAGATTTTTCAGGCCTCTGAATTATTACTGGCCGGACATTTCTCAAACGCGCAAATGATATTGGCGCGGCTCAATCAACAGCTCTCTCCCATTGGCAAACCCTTCAAGAGGGCTGCTTTTTACTTCAAAGAGGCTCTGCAGTTACCTTTCCTTTTGCCTTGTACATCCACATCTTTTCCACCAAGAATTCCCACCCCATTTGATTGTGTGCTTAAGATGGATGCTTATAAGGCTTTTTCTGAAGTATCTCCACTTATTCAGTTCATGAATTTCACCTCCAATCAAGCTATTCTTGAAGCTCTTGGGGCTGCCAAGCAAATTCACATAATAGATTTTGACATTGGCTGTGGTGCTCAATGGTCCTCATTAATGCAAGAACTCCCGAGCAGCAATAGAAAGGCAACTTCCCTAAAGATTACTGCCTTTGTATCTCCTTCAACCCACCACTCCGTTGAGATTGGCATCATGCACGAAAGTTTAACGCTGTTTGCTAATGATGTGGGAATCAGATTTGAGCTGGAAGTTATTAACTTGGATTCCTTTGACCCTAAGACTTATCCCTTATCCTCCTTGAGGTCATCTGAGTGTGAGGCTATTGCTATTAATTTCCCCATATGGTCTATTTCAAGTTGTCTATTTGCATTTCCTTCACTGCTTCACTGCATGAAGCAACTTTCACCAAAAGTTGTTGTATCATTGGAACGTGGATGCGAACGTACTGAACTCCCCTTAAAGCATCACCTCCTCCACGCCCTCCAATATTATGAGATACTTTTAGCCAGTATTGATGCTGCTAATTTAACACCAGATGTTGGGAAAAAAATTGAGAGGTCTCTCTTCCAGTCTAGCATTGAGAACATGGTCTTAGGGCGCCTCCGATCCCCTGACCGAATTCCCCCATGGAGAAACCTATTTGCTTCTGCAGGATTTTCACCTGTTGCGTTTAGTAATCTAACTGAAATCCAGGCAGAATGCCTTGTTAAGAGAACTCAGGTAGGAGGATTTCATGTCGAGAAGCGCCAGTCGTCTCTTGTGCTATGCTGGAAGCAGCGGGAACTCTTGTCAGCTTTGTCTTGGAGGTGCTGAGGAGCTTTATCTTATGAAGCCAGACAACTCTTTCTTTTAACAGCAACATTTACTAGAGGTTTTGACTCTTCAATTTGATGTCTGTTAAAAAATCTGCTTACATTTGCTATGTCATTTTCTCCGTATGTGTAGTCTTTGACTGTAGGCAGGCCTTCCGCGTTAAACAAATCCTAACTATTATCCCTGTTTGAATATCAGTGTGTTGTATCTTCCCAAGTTTCCCTGTGTATTAATTTCTATCTTTTCCATGTTCTGATACAATTGCTAAGTACTATTAACAATTTCTGGATAGTAATGAGTAATGACCTGCTTTTCTTTCTGAATGTGTTGAGCTTCCTGGTTACAAGCATGTTAGTTCCCAAGTGAATAGTTTCTCTTAAAATGAGTGAGTAATATATTCGACTTTTGATACATGTATTGGTATATTAGATAAGAACCAAAATTGGAGGCATGTTCTGAACTTAGGACATGGATACTCTTATTGGAATTACATTCCTATTCCTATTCCTGCTATTAATAAGCAAGAGTTTCACGAGCTTCAGGTCGTCTTTTCCTGCCGACCAAAAGGCTTAATTGGAATTTTGTAAGTTTGGTTCACTGTTTTAATACAGTGGGAAGTGGATATGTATCTTCAAAGAGCGGCATGTGTACGTCTTGTATAATGTCTCTGTCAACGCAAGTTTTTTTTTGTTACACTACTGTTTGTCAGCTCTTGTGCCTATTTTTGATCCTCTTCCTCACTCTGTTTTGATTTAAACTTTTTGGCTGTTTGGCATAATACTCCCTTGAAAGATCAAAACTTAGTTCTGCTAAAATTTCCTGTTGGTTGCTGTCTTCTTTAAGTTTTCTCTGCTCTATGTACTACTCTGCTGACAAGTTAGATGTAACACCCAGATTAGATAGAGTCCCACGTCGGCAAAATACAAGAGGGATGCTGGATATATAAGTTAACAAGCCTTAGATCCTAGTGACGCGTTTTAAACCCTCGAGGACCTAGGCCCAGAGCGGACAATATCACTAGCGGGCTGGGCTGTTACATTGGACTTTGGTTCTTTTAATTGCCCTTGGATGCTTTCTGTTTCATCTTGCTGAATTTCATGCTTAACTGACATATAAGAAACTATTCGGAAAACATATTAGATCCCAAGTGTTAGTGCATAATGTTAGAGATTAGATAGTTTGAAGAGTTGAGCTCTTTGGATATTGTCTCACACTGGACAAATAATCATATAATTACATTTAGATGTGTTTTATATCTTAGTCGGATTATTATTAGTGTATTGTCTTCTCTTTTTTAAGCTGTTGTATTTCAGTAAGTTTAGAATAAATATTGCACAAGGTTCTGTGAATTCGTTTAGAAGAGTATAATTTATGTGATCAGAGGCGGATCCAGGATTTAAACCCTATGGGTTTAACTTTTATTGTTTTAACCATTGAACCTATTATATTTTTAAAGTTATGGGTTCATATCTATTATTTTTGCAATTTTAATGAATTTTTACATACATATTTTTATTCCGCGTCGAAAGTTATGGGTTTAGTTGAACCCATCCCCGTCCCCGTCCCCAGAACACTACATCTGCCTCTATATGTGATGGAACAAAACATTTACACTCAAGAAAAAAATTACTTCAGTTATCGAGTGAATTGAGAAAATTTTCTCATCTATATTGAGAAGTTCTTTGAAAGCCAAATGCAAATTTTCCATTTTGGGGATTATTATTTTCCATTTTGTTAAACCTTGAGCGTACTTGCTTGTTGTTATTGTTTCTTTTTTTTTTCTTGAGCCGATGGTCTATCGAAAATAATTTCTTTACCCTCAAGGTAGGGGTAAGATTTGCGTACATACTACCCTCCCAAGGGTCCACTCGTGGGATTATATCGTTTTTTTTTTTTTTTGTAAACCTTGAACGGACTTGTCAAGTTTTGTATCGAAGTCTTTCCAAATGAAAACGACATATTGTTCGTATTAGCTTCTCCAACTAGGTTTTAATTATATGATTAATTAATATTTGTCATGTTCACATTATACCAACTGTTAAAGGATTAAAATTAATCAAAAGTCCTCAAAACATGGTCCTACACTCCTTAATGAATTTCATGTCCACCTGCCTTGTAGTCTACGTTGGATTTAATAAAGTTCACTTTGAAATGCTCAAAATTTAGATTAGATTATTGAGTTCAATCAAACATGACCCATGTGGTTTGCTTAAGTGGATGGACTAAATTATTCAAGATGTTGATAACAAATACAATGAATGAAGTATATAATAATAATTTGGCATGCATTATGTAATCCAAATTACCTACATCCCTTCTAAAATAATGATGGGAACTTCGTATTTTCAAAAGAATGATTGAATTAATGACGTATAACACTTCCCAAAATACAACAATAATATAATACAAAGTCGTTAAATTAATGTAATGCTAAGCTGTCGATCCTTATTTATTTNTAATGTAATGCTAAGCTGTCGCGCCTTATTTTTTTCACCCACTCCAAATTCAGACTCTCCTACAGGACCAGGGCCATAGTTTAGAGGGAATGCTCTAATTAAATGGTCGTAGAAAATATACAATGACGGTGTATATGTACGGGTCAATTTGCCTACACCTCGATTCTCTTAGCGTATATATTAAATAACTTTGACCATTAAGACTTGAGCAGATGAAAAAAAAAAATTTATCTCTATAAAAATTTGAAATCCAAGTCTTCATAATTTTTATTTAACTTCATTTACCACTAGTATTTGTAGATTCTTAGCAAAGTATTGTTTCGCACTTACTACAAGTCCTTTGTATAAAGAATAGAATGGAGCAATCAACTGTTTTCCAGTCTCAGTTACAAAGGGCAGTATCACATAAATAAAGTGAAATAACAATAGTCATATGAATGAATATTAAGCAACATTTACTTGTGAGTTTATCAGATCAAACGGGCAAATCAAGATCAGAGGCGGATCCATGATTTGAATTTTATGGGTTCCTATTGTAATCTCAAATTAATATACAATAATAACTGGGTTCACAATTATATATTTATAAATATTTAATGGGTTTTTTAATAAACATATAAGGTCTTCACAAAAGTTACTGTTACCCGGGAACCCAGTAACTATATTATGCCAACTTCATTTTTATTTAATAGAAAAATTAAAACTTATGATCTTAAACATCACATCGATTAGCTCGAGTTGTCTTAGATAGATCCCAAGTGGGGCTTGACCTGCTTTATTCGGTCTTCAACTGGCCTACAAGACTGCTAAAAGAGAAGAAAAGTAAAGGTGAAATTTTTGTGGGTATAAAATCATGTCATTAAAGGTAAAATAGAAAGTTCGAATTAGGAGAGCGGAAAAAAAAAATTGAGGTTATCAAAAAGTACCCTTAAACTAAAATTGTTTCTAAACATAAAAGGATGACATTCCTTTTTTCTGGAACAGACTAAAAAAAAGAAAGTATGTCATGAAATGGGACAAGGGGAGTAATAAAAGAGCATAAACCTCAATAAAACATGAACACACATGTCTAGAGAGGACTGAAACAAAAAAGTCAAGACCATAACATGGCCCAATTGTTCTTTGGGCGGGAAGGATGTTAGATTATGTCAAGACATGAACTAATCAGTAGTCAAAAGCTGTTTAATCAAAATATGAAATGGCTCTCCTTAGAGAATTTACTACAGCTTCATAACTTGCAAAAAATGCATATACAGTAATGCAGTGAAAGTAATCAAACCAATATCAGCTCATACTTTGAGAAGAACCAAACTAGTAAGAATTCTTCCCCCGTCTAAAATGAATTGATTGAAGAAGAATTAATTCATTCCTCCATTAGCAGCATACAAATACTATCTGTGTTGACAGTGACTTACACCAAAAGGAACATAAGCAACGTAGCGACAACAGCTAGTGAGATTTCTGTGGCTACTTAGTTTATTATTGCAACGCGTAGACATGCCTATTTTCCTGAGCAATGCAGTAAGCATAGAAGTATTTCGCCAACTTATTATGCCTCAAAGCCAACTCGGCTGAATAATTTATAATCCTCTATATCCATGACAATAAAACTACAAGATTTCTAAATTTCATAATTCATATGAACATACTACAAGTTACAAATATTAGGACTATGCTGGAGTTCAGTCAAACTAGATTCCTTAATCTACCTGGAAGCAAAATAAAGTGAAGTTTAGAATATTGTTTCCAAGTGTAAATTGTAACAAGAGTATAGACCTGTAGAAAAGATCTGTCCGGTACATAGCTCTAACCTGGTTCTTATCCGACCTCAATATACCTATCAAAATTCAAACATCGTATCCAACACTTTAAGAGCACAAAAAGATTATTTACATAGGAAGTGACTTTCCTGTAACCAGGAAGCTCAGCACACTCAGCCAGAAAAACATGCCATTACTATCCAGTGTACATGCAAAGGACACCAGGCAAACAAGCGGATGATAACATTAGCATTCACCAGTAAAGGATTATCATACTGCTTATCCAATAAATCATGTTAATATCTGTTAGCACTTACCAATTGTTCCCAAATATGGAGAAATGGACGATTTTTTAATATTATTAAACAAGGTAAAAAAGAAAGCAATTAATACACAGTGAAATGCTGAAAGATACTACGCAGATTTTCAAACAGGGAAAGTGGTTAAGATTCTGTTTACACGTAGGAATGCTTGCCTACAGTCAAGACTACATATGGAGAATTAGATGTACCAAAAAGAATTTACAGGCAACAGTGGAGGTGATAGCAATGTAGATTAAATTTTGAACAGACTATCAAATTGAAGAGTCAAAACCTCTAGGAAATGTAGCTGTTAAATGGAAAGAGTCTTCTGGCTTTCATTAGATAAAGCTCCTCAGCACCTCCAAGCCAAAATTGACAAGAGCTCCTGCTGCTTCCAGCATAGCACAAGCGACGTCTGGCGCTTCTCGACGTGAAATCCTCCTACCTGAGTTCTCTTAACAACACATTCAGCCTGAATTTCAGCCATATTACTAAATTCAATAGGTGAAAATCCTGCAGAAGCAAATAGGTTTCTCCACGGGGGCATTCGATCAGGGGATCGGAGGCGCCCCAAGACCATGTTCTCAATGCTAGGCTGGAGAAGAGACCTCTCAATTTTTTTCCCAATCTCTGGAGTTAAATTAGCAGCATCAATACTGGCTAAGAGTATCTCATAATATTGGAGGGCATGGAGGAGGTGATGCTTTAAGGGGAGTTCAGTACGTTCACATCCACGTTCCAATGATACAACAACTTTCGGTGAAAGCTGCTTCATACAGTGAAGAAGTGAAGGAAATGCAAATAGACAACTTGAAATAGACCAGATGGGGAAATTAATAGCAATAGCCTCACACTCAGATGACCTCAAGGAGGATAAGGGATAAGTCTTAGGGTCAAAGGAATCCAAGTTAATAACTTCCAGCTCAAATCTGATTCCCACATCATTAGCAAACAGCGTTAAACTTTCGTGCATGATGCCAATCTCAACGGAGTGGTGGGTTGAAGGAGATACAAAGGCAGTAATCTTTAGAGAAGTTGCCTTTCTATTGCTGCTCCGGAGTTCTTGCATAAATGAGGACCATTGAGCACCACAGCCAATGTCAAAATCTATTATGTGAATTTGCTTGGCATCCCCAAGAGCTTCAAGAATAGGTTGATTGGAGGTGAAATTCATGAACTGGATAAGTGGAGATATTTCAGAAAAGGCCTTATAAGCATCCATCTTAAGCACACAATCAAATGGGGTGGGAATTCTTGGTGGAAAAGATGTGGATGTACAAGGCAAAAGGAAAGGTAACTGCAGAGCCTCTTTGAAGTAAAAAGCAGACCTCTTGAAGGGTTTGCCAATGGGAGAGAGCTGTTGATTGAGCCGCGCCAATATCATTTGCGCGTTTGAGAATTGTCCGGCCAGTAATAATTCAGAGGCCTGAAAAAACTGGTCATAAATAAATTGTTGTTCCTGCTGTTGATGACGAGGCACTATCAAATTACCATTACCACCACCACCAGCTGCCTCAAGCTTAGGTACAATTAATGGCTTTTGCTGAAACTGGTGAAAAGGCAGAAAATTGACTTGCTGCCGCATTTGTCCCAATGGTTGTTTCCTCAGCAATAAGTCACCACTGGAGTCAAAAAATGGAACTTCAGGCAATAGAGCACTTAAGCTTGAACCAAGCGTACCCGAATTGTGGCGTTTGGGCGGGGGCTGTTCTTGACTTATATCATATGATAATGAGCCTAACATGTTAACATAAGCAGAATTCTGTTCTGATGGTTGTTCTTGAAAGCTCAAAGCAGGAGGTAAATTTCTTGCCAAAAGATTGACATTCAGGTGTTCAAAATTAACATTTTGCTTGTTGTCTGAGTTTATGACAGATCCAATTTTCTCAATGTTAGCATTTAGAAGGAGATTTGAATTAGAAAAAGAGACATTATCTGTATGAGCTAAAGAACCTGCAGCTGAGACCTCAAAACCAGAGCTTTGAACAGAAACTCCACAACCCAAATCAGCATTTGCATTTCCTCCTTGGAGTAACTGTTTCAAGCTGACTGATGGGTCCTCCATATCGCCGGAGATACACCGGAAAAGGGTCTGGTCGGAGCCGGCAAGTTCAGGCAACAAATTATCCAAATCCCCAAATCCAAGATCAGATTTTTCTCCCATATTTCCACCATAAGAGCATGAGGAAGATGAAGCTGAAGCTGAAGGACTGTGACTTGTCGTAACCAACATAGAAACAAGTTCAATTTCTTGTAAAGTTTGAATATTAATTGCAAATTGGTGCTTCTGGTGAAGAATAAATTAGGCACAAAACCAGAAACACCNGCCATATTTCCACCATAAGAGCATGAGGAAGCTGAAGCTGAAGGACTGTGACTTGTCGTAACCAACATAGAAAAAAGTTCAATTTCTTGTAAAGTTTGAATCTTTATTGCAAATTGGTGCTTCTGGTGAAGAAGAAATTATGCACAAAACCAGAAACACCAACGACCCCTGTTAGGCGTTAGAATTTAGGAAAACTTTGAGGTATTACAATCATCTGAACATAGAAAAAAAAAAGAAGAGAAGAATCAGCAAACCCACTACAAAAACAGACACAAAATAACCATGATAAACAAACAAGTTCACATTAAATAATTAGGTTTCTTGCCTTTCGCTACTTGATGGATCTTATTTTTTTACCAAGATTTGAAGGCAGTGACTTATTCAATAACTTTTTTCTCATAGAAAAAACAGCCATTGGCTCCAAAATATGAACTTGGTCTCCATTTCATCTGAGGTAGTAAAGAAAAAAAAAATCAGCAATCCCACAATAAGAACAGCAAAAGAAAAAAGAAAGGAATAACAGTGGTACAAGATATTTTCATTTTCTTGCCTTTTACTTTGAGATGGATATTAATTTTTCTAACAAGATTTGAAGGTAGTGAGTTCTAATATAGGTTTTTGATTGTTTCAGATGAAGAAAGGAAAGTGTTTCATTAGAATAAGAAAAGGAGAGTTCCTTCGATATTGCTTGTGTTTGTAAAAAGAAGAGGAAGGGGCTGGATTGTATTGGGCCTTCGGAGCAGACTTGAATCAATACAGGCCCACAAGAATGAACAAAGGAAGCCCAATATTTCTTCTATATTGGTAAAAACAGTTAAGAGGCAAATGACATACACAGATATTCCAAATTTTACTATAGGGTGTTTGGGTTAGCTTAATTTTCATCAAATGGATGGTAATCTTTCTAACGAGAGAAAATAGAAAAAAGAGGGTGGCTAAGTGTTCACTTTCAATAACATTTGTCTAGGTAAAATTTGGATCACAAATTTTACATTTGAAAATATTTGCAGCACTACTCCGTTGTTAACAATGAAATCAAATTGAACAAATGATATAAAATGTAAAGGCCTTGAGGCAAAACCCATGTACTTCAAAAATGCCCCTAATGCTAGTACTTTTGAAGTATATACGATTTTTTGTATGCACTTAAGAGGTTTTTATCTAAAGTCTACAACTTTAGATAAAATTTGTAACTTTAGATGCGGATTGTGCTACTTCAATCACGTAGGTTTAAAGTCATATCCAGAATGGGTAAAATTGCAAAAAAAAAATTGAATTTAGAATACAACTTAAATAGTGGCCCCAAAATCAGATATTTGTGTTACCCTGGTAACTTGTAATTAACTTTTTATTGAAGAACTAACTTAAACAGTCACTCATCTAACTGTTTAAGCTAAAAAAAGTCGATGAATATATAGCATATGTATAATATACATAATCATATGTACAGTTAGACCTCTCTATAACATCTCTATATAACAACACTTCATTATAATAGTCAAGATTTTTCGAAATCAATTTTTATGTTATGTTATAATATATATTCTCTATAACATTACTTTATTATAACGTACAAAAATATTCGGAACAAACGAGACTGTTATAGAGAGGTTTTACTGTATATAGAAAAAATTCTTAACTCTCACGGTTACTGGGCTATAAAGCCTATTGGAAGTTTCTGGACTGATCCCCCATCAAAACTCAGATTGGGTCCCACATTTCCACCTCCGCAAGTATGCAAGCAAAGAACCTTGGAGAAGGGGCCAAATCTCAAACACAAACCTTTATAATTCCCCTTTCATCAATCTCTCCATAAAAACCCTAAACCTCAACAATTAGTAGCAAATAATTGGATCTTCAATTCAATGGGATTTTTCAAAAGTACATTCTCGTTTGTTGTGGGTACGGGTTTCGGAGTGTACTTGGCCCAAAACTACAACGTCCCCAATATCCAGAAGCTCGTTAACACTGGCCTTGTCATCGCCAAGCATCTTGAAGAGAATTATCGTAAACCCAAAAAGAGGGCAGATGATGAAGATTTGTAAGCGGTTCTTTACGGCGTCGTTTTTTAAGTACACAGGTGCTTAGTATTTTGACTTTTTAACTATTGTAACCTCTATGGCGGGGATTGGGGAAGGGGTTAGCAAATTTGATTTTTTGGGGGGAGGGTTTTGTTTTGGGGATTTGAAGAATTTGCTGAATTTTCATTGTTTTTGTTTATACGATTCATCAATGAAATTTGAAAGGAATTTTTCTTTTCAATTATTTTGTTTAGCCAATTGTGACTTGGAGTTTGATGTTCCTTTTATTACTTTAATATGTGCATTTAAAAGAATAATATGAGAATGAAGTAGGACGAATTGTGATGAATAGAAATATATATATAGTCTTTCCGAATTAATTTGAGATTGAGGTATAGTTGATTAATATTTTTAAAGTGTTAACTGTTAAGAGGAGGATAACTTTAAGATGGGAATTGCCCAATGATTAATAAATCCAATGGTGAGAAGGAGATCAGTCAAATGTGAGAATGTGCTTGAATTTAATGAACCTATCTATCTCATGTTAACAGCCGAATCTCAAAATATACTGGAATTAGCACGACTTGCCAAAGGGATAAAGAGGAATTGCAAGTTTACATCACATGTACAATGAGACAGATACCTGCTGTAATATTCTATTATGTATGATGTGGTTTATTTTTCTATCGAAATGGATATGCTAATGAATTTGGGTCCTCGAGTTTTTTTATCTCTTTAACAACCGCCAGGTGACTATGTTTATCAAAAAACCTGAAAGGAAAAACAAACATATGCATGTAGATGGCACACCAATGTTCTCTATTTTATGAAAGGTCCTATGATAAGCCTAGGATTCTTCTAGGCTCAAATTGAACTTATGAAATATCCTACAATAAGTCTAGAATTTTACCACATGTAGACTCGAAATACAAGTGACTGAGTGAGGAGACATTAAACAAATACCGAAAGTTGGACCTGGCATGCTTTCTGCATCTTGTTAACCTGGTTCTAAATTAGCCACTAAAAGAGAGGTTTGGCCCAATCTTTTAACAAGTTGGATCTACGGCACTTTTGTGCTTGATGAAGCTTTTGTTATGGTAATTAATATGTAACTAGTTGCTGTGTGAGTCTGACTGAATGTCTTGTCAATATGATGACTTCCAACACTGTATAACAAAAACGAATCAAAATATTTGCAACTTAGCACTGGTCCAAGGAACTTCATCTGTTTATGAGCATTTCAAGCTGTATGTTGCTAGCACACAGTCACCAGTGTTTACCTAAGCCTATATCTGCTTATATACTGCAAGTGTTGCTGACAGCAAAAAAGAGTTTATTCTCCATTGGTACCTCTGGCGTCCCATATCAGCATAAAAATGAAAAGTGATAGAATGTTCTTATTTTTGCGCAGTGAATGATACATAAGTCATTCAGATGTAATTCGTAATCTTTTACCTCATTTAGATATCTGTTCCAAACATTAATTTTCAGGATTCAACTAAACAATTTTTTTTGCATTGGAGATTAAGCAGAAAATATATGCAGCAGTACCATCAAGTGTTTCAGATATGCAACAGTCCTGACGAAGAAAGCATTAGCAGCAGCTGAAACGACTTACGTGATGAAGCAGTGAAGGAAACAGATAATAATTTCTCTGCACGCGTTTGTTCTTCTGCTGTATGCTTGCCGTTAAAATTAGCAATGATTCTAGCTGACGATGTTTTATGCTACTTGTGCTATTGATGCATTTGCACATATTAAGATGGATTCAAAGTTCTTCATTAGTACCTATGTTATCAAGCACTAAATTCACCGTTAAGGTTTAGTTGAATGGTTGTTTACTAGTTTAAAAGGCAACATTGTTGTGCAGGAAAGAGTTGATTTTATGAAGGGCTGAGTGTAACTTAAACTTAGTTTACTTCTCAGTACTAATTGGTGCCAGGTACTTTGGCAAGCTTATTAATCCTTTGGTTGAAAAAGTTGCAAAGGTTGTATGGAGAATGATTCCCAGATCTGATTTAGGCATCGCCACCCACTTATTAGCTGTCCATATGTCAAACTAGTTTTGCAATGAGACTGAATTTCGCTCGGTAGTTTGGGGGCACGAGTAGATCCGTATAATGTATTATGACTTGTGTGAATCATCGGTTTTGGTTTTCAGATTATTCGGAATCGATTTGGAAGAAAGAATTTCATCATTGAAACTTTAAGTTGGAAGAGTTGACCATGTTTGACTTTTGTGAATTTGACCTCGAAATGGAGTTTTGATGGTTTCGTTAGGTCCGGATGGTGATTTTGGACTCGGGCGTATGCCCGAATTTGCATTTGGATGTTCCTAGAAAGATCCGACACTAATTGGCGAAAGTTGGAAATTCGAAGGTTTGGAAAGTTCATAAGTTTGACTCAAAGTTCACTTTGTTTATATCGGATTCATATTATGGTTCCGGGAATTGGAATAGCTTCGTTATGTCATCTGGGGCTTGTGTGCAAAAATTTGGGTTTATTTCGGGTTGATTTGATATGTTTCGGCACGAGTTTTGGAAGTTGAATGTTCAAAGTTCATTCAAGTTTGATTTGAAGTGAGATTCGTCATTTCGATGTTGTTATGTGTGATTTGAGGCCTCAAGTAGGTCTGTGTTAAGTTATGGGTATTATTGGTATATTTGGACGGGTCTCAAGGGGCTCGGGTAAGTTTCGGACATGGTTTAGATAAATTTTGTCTTCTGCTACATTGCTGAAGGAGTGTTGGTTATGGTGTTGCGCGCCTGCAGTTGGTTTTGCGCTAGTGCAGTGATCACAGAAGCAGTAATGTTGTCGCACCCACGAAAAGGGGCGGAGCTTGGAGTATTCACAGGTGCAAAAATTGAGGTACATCTGCGGCCCCGCAGAAGCGATGGACTTGGGCGCAGAAGCGAGCTGGAGCGCAAAAATGTGTTTCGCTTCGCACTTGCGGTTGCGCAGAAGCGGATGGAGATCCGCAGGTGTGAGGGGTCAGCTGGCTAGTGGAGTACACAAAAGAGGTATTTGTGTCGCAGAAACGACGCCGCAGAAGCGGCTCATGTGTTCGCAAAAGCGAAAATAGCTGGGCATAAGCTTTAAATTGAGGGTTTGGTCACTTTATTCGTATTTGGAGCTATAGACCTAGGATTGAGACGATTCTTGAAGAGATTTTCACCACATGGATTGGGGTAAGTGTTTTACATTCGGTTTTGATTATATTTCGTGATTCTATCTTCATTTTTGGTAATTCGGTTATGCGTTTTAAAGAGAAAATTGGGGATTTTAGCCTAGAGTTTCATAGAGTGAGTTTTTGAGTTTTGAACATCGATTCGGAGTCGGAATTGGGTGAAACTAGTATGGTTGGACTTTTAATTGACTGCGTTGTCGGATTTTTGAAATTGTTTGTCTGGTTCTGCGGTGCGGGCCCGGGTTTGAATTTTGAGTTGATTTTCTCTTTGTAGGATCTTGTACCTTTTGGTGTACCACTTTTATACAGGAGTTCCCTCCCCATCATCAATGAAATTATTTTACCTTATTAAAAAAACATTTGTTATAGGAGTTTTGTCCTTAACTTTGTGTGTACTTTTTATCTTCTCTATGTTGATACATACAAGTCCTTGTGTGGCACAAACAGGGCACAGCTAGAACATTTTGATTTCTTGTCTCCCTTCTTATGTGCTAACTTTGATGCTAATATTGTTTTATTGCTTGCATTAGTGTCTTATTTTATCTTGATTTCTTTGGACGCTTGCTTGGATTGGTGGATTTCTTCCTATGTGTGGTCTCAGTTGTCAACGATACATGGTTGGGTATTTTAGATTTGGCTCAAGGGTGCAAGTGGCACGGAACGAGTGTCATGCTTTTGTGTCTGTTGGGAAAGATGCAGAGCATGAACATTTTCTTTTTGTGTCTTGAAGCTTTCTCTAAACTGCTGGTCTTATGGAAGTTCTCGATTAAGGTGCACGCAGTCTTTATTTTTTCGTGTGTAAAGTGTGCTCAGGTGTTACTCCATATGCTTATTTTCTTCAACGATCCAACTGATGGGACCTCTTGGTTCTGGAGACCTGATAAATATTCAATTCTGCCACATAAAGTGCTCCTCTACATTGGTATTCTTTCTATTTATCTTCTCGTTTCTTTTGTTTACCATGCCAGCTTGATTTTGTTTGTTTGATGTAGGGTTAGACCACACAGTGACACCATAATAGAGAACTAGATTTGGAAAGGTCAGTGTCCAGTTATGCGCTACTGAGTCTGTTGTTTCTTGGTCTTTTTGGTGCTCGCACTGTGATGTGGATCTTTAGCTTTGAGGAAAACCGGGTTTTTTCTGCATCTCTAGTGATTTCCTCTGTATGGTATGGGCTTTTCCAGCTTCTCACTTGACTGGGCCTTCGGTTGGTAGTGATTTCAGATAGGAGGATATTATTTAATCCTGAATTACACTGTTATTTAACACAATACTTTTATCTTCATCATCAAACTCTTGCCTCATTGTGAGAAGTCATGATTGATTTAAATTCTCAGCTTAGCAGAAGTCATAGTTGAATATTGGAATTGTTACCTTCTTGGCTAGTTGAATGCGCTATGATCATCTAATCTTAATCATTTACTGGCTTATTAAATATTAGCGAGGGACACATTGCTTGATATATAGATATCAAATGAGCAAAAGTGTGCGTAATTTAGATTTCAGCGTTTCAAAAATCCTTTCAAGTATTTTACATTACACTGTTCCGATTTGGTTTCTATTTCAAATTGATCGATATCAAGATGTTTTGCTGCGTATTTCTTCTTTTCTCTACCCAGAGTTATGTTGATTTAACAGCGGATACCTGAAACCATTGATAGGTAGATCATTGCATATGTGGGTTGAATTAGCAATATTTCCTCATTTGTTTGAACTTAATGGAGGTCTGAATCTTAATTATCCAGATCTCAGGCATTAAGTACGTTTGATTTTAAAGTCTGAATCTTAATCATTCAGATCTTAATCATTAAGTGTGTTTTTTTTTTTTACTTCACAACCACTTAATGGGTCTGAATAGGTCTGTAAGATTAAGATCTATAACAAAGACTTAATTTCATTAAGATGTTATCATCCACATTCATTACTAACTGCCGCCACCGCCTACCACTATCAACTACCACCACCACCATCCTCAATCATAGCCGCCACCACTACCACCACCTATTACCCCTACCACCACCATCATCCTCAACCATAACCACACACTCACCTACCTCAACTACCACCACCAGCCACCCCATTACCATCAATAACCATAACCGGCACCGTCCACCATTATAAAATATCACCACCCACCATCACCTTCTTCAATCACAACCACCACTATCCTCAACCATAATCGCTATCGCTACCAACCACCACTAGCTACTACCTAGAACCACCACCATCAACCAAAATCACCACCAATCACCGCCTCTAATCAGCACTCACAAGCACCTCCGTTAGCCATCACCACTACCAATNAAGATAAATTCTATATATTCAGATGTTTAAAAACAGTCTTAATTATTTAATATTCAGATCTTAAAACACATCTTAGTATTCAGATGTGTTTCAGACTAAGTTGCTCAGACACGGGTGCGGGTGTCCGACACGGGTGCGGATCTTGAGGTTGGATCTTTCAAGATGTAAATTTTAAGATTCGGGGAAACGGATCCTAGTACGGATACGGCTGCGGGGATCCGGCTAAAAATAATTTTAAAAAATAAAAAACTCTCTAATTTATGAGAAATTTTGTGGAATACTTGCGTATAGCTTGTAAAGTGTGGATTTCATTTTTATTCTCAAGTTGTAGATAAGTAAAAGATTGATTTCCTAGATAAGATATGCTATTTTCTTTAAATTTACCCTAATTTTAGTTCTGATTTCGGTAATCAAATTGTATCTCATCTCGAACTTTTCTGTCCGTCGAGGTCAAAGTATCCAAAATTGTTTGACCAAATCCGGTGCGGATCCCATACCCACACCCATAATAGTGTCGTGTCGACACGGGTACGACACCTAAACTGCCATGTCGGAGCAACCTAGGTTTCAGATTCAGACGTCTTAATCTTAATACACATCTTGATATTTAGATGTGTATTCAGATTCAGACGTCTTAATCTTAAAAAAACAAATACAAATGAGGGCTAATATTTCAGATGAAACTGGTTCTATCGTATAATTGTCTTTGCTTAGATATTTTTTTTGTCGGAGCTGGGTTTATTCTCTGTAGCATCTGAGGTATCGAGTTCATAGAATTTAGAAGGTAGTTGGATAACCGGGCTTACTTTTCATGGAATTGGTAAGGGAGGAGACTTGTGGAAGGGACTGATGAAGGCAAGAAGGAATCTGATAGCAACATCAGATATTAAGTTGGGAAATGGAGCTAGGATTGACATTTGGAAATGAAGATGTTTTAGGGATGATGCCTTTTTAGAACTTTCCCGCATTCTTTTGTATATCCTGTCAAAAGATCTCACCACGATACAAGTATACAAAGAAGGAGGAGCTCTATTCGACAACATTGGGATCTTGAGGAGTTCTAGAACTTTCTGTAGTTTCTACTGTACAAGCAAGGCATCACCAGTGCAGATCAAGACATATTGAGGTAGGAAGATCTGAGCAATGAATGATTTACTGTGACATCCTTCTATCATATGTTACTGAAGGGAGACAACATGATTTTTTTCCCATCCCTCAGTATGGGTACAAGAGTGCGAAAACAAAATTCTTTTTGGTGTGGTCAACAGACATGTGAAGCCATACTTTTTTTTTAAAAGAAATAAGTAAATTTATTCATCAAAACATCTGTACCAAGATTGTACTGAGAGTATAATACAAAAGCTTGCTGGACATGAATCCTTTATGACGGTAAGGATTACATGAAATCGAGCATCATATCAATATCATAAATTTACAAAAGAAGCCTTGCACCAAAATTTCAAGTTCTGAATACGTCCATATTTGACAAAAGTAACAGTGTCCTCTTTTCCTTGAAACACTTCTCTCTAACCATATCCAGAGTCTTCCAAATCTGTTTTTGCTTCTTCCTCATCTTCCAGTCCTGCCAGCTGCTCAAAATTATAATAGAACCCAAGCTGTGTCTTTTTTCTTTTTCCACTTTCAGGCATTTGCTTCTTAGTCCACTGTTAGATGTAAGTCAGATGAACTTTGGGAAGTTGGAGTATCATTTGAGGGTGAATTACTACTGCAGGAGAGGTAGTCTACCTCTTTGCTATGTGTACGCCAATGATCAATTTTTGCCAGTTGATCTGGTGCTGAACTTGGAAGTGGCTGTGAACGAAGAATTTCTAGAATACTCTCTGCTTTCCCCAGAAGTAAGACGGCAGAGCGGACACCTTTTGCTCTCTCTTCAATAGTGCTATGGTGGCATTGCAGGGGTATAACTCTTTGTAGGTTGGTAAGACAAGCGCCTGTTACATCCACGATCATGGTTGACAATCTGTCGAACATGATTTTGCTATTCTCTAACTCTTTCCTATCAGAACTTTGCAGAAGAGTTTGACATACTCTGTACATACAGTTTGCTGCCAACATATTGGTAGGCCATCTTGAGGGTGATTCCTTTAAACAAGCATTCGAATCTTTCTTTCTAAATTCGGCAAATCTTTGCTTTGCTTTCTTAGAGAGTCCTTCAAGCACGTCTTTTGGATTTTGTCCTTCAGTGGCTGTCGTGCGGAGATCGACATCCAGCCACTTGTAGCATAAGTCAACTCCTACCCACACCAACTCTGCCGCCTTCCTGATGTATACTAGGTCTTTTCCGGCATCCAGGTTCTCTTCCACAACTTTGATGTACATGAGACCTTCATACACACACCTTATTAATTCCTTGATTGAGTGGAAATCAATGTCTGGAAGTGCAATTGCGATGCTTGTCAGCGTCACTACGGGAAGAGCCCAGCAATTAGGAGGTTCTTCCGAATCTAAAGAAGGAATTTGAGCATGGTCAAATTCATACACTCCCCTGAATCCGGGTGATGACTTCACCTTCTCCAGAAGTTGTATAAGATGTTTAGGCTGCTCCTTTTTCCCCATCCCGATCCAGTGACCTACCACATCACGGTTGCTTTGCATCATCAAATCAATTAATGCTTCCTCTCCTTCAAGGTGTAAAACATAGTGGCTAAGATCTGGCTTTAGACTGGCTTGCGACTCTATATCATGACTTGACACCATAGTGTTGCATTTCAGCATCCTGATTGCTTTCCGACAGCTTATCAATAACCAACTTACAGAGAAAGTGGAAATGAGCCGAACTAGCTTACTGAGTGACACCATCATAATTTGCATCCAAATACAGAAATCTAGAAGTCTGTTCTTTGTTTTATGAGCAAATTTTCTACCATGCCGGCCACAAATTCTGAAATCCAACGGGGATTCTTTCCATTGAAGCAGGATGCGGATCCAGTAGTTCTCCACTTTGAACAACTTGGCTTTGCAGGCATTATTTGTTTTTCTGGGGCAGCGGTAATTTATGGCTATGAACCATCTAAAAGCTGGCGCAATTGTTCCTACGCCTATTGCCACAGTCTGAGTTACAAGAATCAAGGTTGTGGACCACTTGTATTCAGAGTCTCCATTGCAAAAGTTGAAGCTCCAATGAAGAAGGTAAGACCTAAGCATGGCCTCAGCATAAATTACTGTGCTCAGAAGGCAGAAACCTCCAGATGCAGTGCATGTTGCTAAGCGCCCCGCCACGAAGTGGGGGCTAGTGGTATAGGCCATGGTCCAGAATTTCATCAGCTCGTCCTTCAGGTTCTCAGTTGTGCATTTAGAGGTGATCCCACATTCTTTGTTTGCTAACTTGTATCTCTTGTTATATTTCAGGTCCAAATAACACTTTGTAGTTGGTATTGCCACGGCTGAGGAGATCAGTAGCAGAAGCAAAACAAGCATAAGAAACATGAGGGCGATATGCTCTTTGCAGAAAACATAGATTACACCTGTAGCTAATTGTATACCAATGTTCACAATGGCTGTGATGACGAAAATACCCAAAGCCATTATGTTCATCAACAACTCTTTGTTCTCCATGAGTCCTAAAGAAGGCATAAAATTAGAAATTACCGTACAGATTAGAGTAGCACTGCTAAGTTTTGTCAGCTGATCTTGGCGACGAGGCATGGAGGTATTTAGATCAACAGACAACTTGGTGGCGACAGCTAGAAGTGTCAAGGTTGTAGCATTGAGAGAGAAGTAGTTGCAAGGAAACCAGAATTTTCTATGGCGCAGGCCATGAAGGACATCCATTGCCATAGCCAGCGCACAAGCTGCAGATGCTCCTGCAACATAGATACCGATCCATGGCATTGGCTCGCTGAATTTTGAGTCATCTAGGTTGCCATCTATGGTGCAACCAATCTTCCCCATCTCGTTTCACTAGTTCTCCAGTTATCTCTTAATGTAAAGCTGAAATCTTTATCAGTGGTGGAGCTTTTGTATGCTATTCTGAGGAGTTCTTGTTGGTGTTTCTACCTCTTGGTGTTTGTCTAGGTTGCTGTTTATCAATCTTCCCCATCTCGTTTCACTAGTTCTCCAGTTATCTCTTAATGTAAAGCTGAAATCTTTATCAGTGGTGGAGCTTTTGTATGCTATTCTGAGGAGTTCTTGTGGGTGTTTCTACCTCTTGGTGTTTGTCTAGGTTGCTGTTTTGGATGCAACTATATCTATTTGATTGTTTGACTATCTTTCAAACTATTTCCAGTGTTTTCCGAAGATTTACTATTTCTGAATCTTCAGTCTCATTCTTTGGTCATTGATGATTTCACGCGTTAAAGGCTGCTGCAAAAGTCAGCAAGATGGATGAGGGACTTTGACATGATTGTTTACTTGAAAGCTGGTGGGATATGATTGGCATTAGCTACTGGAGTGATTCCTCTGCTATATTTTACTTTCTGTTAAAAGTCAAGCGCATGTTTAGAATTTTGGAGGTTTCTCTGAAGAGCCCACATGAGTTTGGTTCAAAAGTGGTTGCCAAGATTGTCTGCTTGTAAGGTGGACAAAACGTATAAAATAACTTGGTGACTACATTGATTAGCTAACTTGATGGGTCCAACAGACAGTAATTATATAGAAAAATGGTTTTCTCCAGATTGTGCTAAGCTTGTGAAATCTCACTACGCCACCTTCTAATTGTTTTAAGGTACTATTATAAAATAGAAATTATTAAGAAGTTGAGAGGATTAGATATTTATAAAAAATATTTTAAATCTTGTATATACAATATTTTAACTTTATATTTTCACCGATCCCATTTAATAGGAGTTTTTCCTTAAAAAAAAGAATAGAAAAGAAAAAAGAGAAAAAGTTCAAGGCTTATTAGTCAATACTCAATAGTATACAAACAATACAAGGTGTGTGTTCGATCTCATTGTCTTTCTACTCTTTAGAAGGAAGCGTACCCACCCCTGCAACAAACTCGGTTTCGGAACCAAAATATGGTCTTTTTTGACTCAAACGATCGAAATGCGTGAAAAAAAAAATTTAGTGATCAAAATACATATAGCGCCCTTTTAAAGGGCGCTATATCTTTATACACATGGCTCAGGAAAAGCAGATAAATAGAATTTAATGTAACAAAACAAGGGCAGACTGCTAGGTGTTGCAACGGTTAAAGGCTAGATAAGAAGTTAGTTTTGTACTTGAGAATTAAGATCCAAGGTTCGATTCCCTCTAGCAACATTATTTCGTTTTCCTATTTCTTTTCATTATTTGGTTTAAGTATTTAGATATAAATATTTTAATATTTATAATTACTTTTCAATGTAATTAAAATAATTTAATATTTATTAAAATATTATGATTTTTGAATTCATTTAAAGTAAAAAAAAAAAAAGCCTTTTATTATTTCGTTAAAAAATCTACCGATATTTTTAATAATTGTTATTTTGTATTATACGTAAAACAAAATTATTTTTTGTATTTTTTGATACAAAAAATATATATATTTTAATCTACTGCTTGATTTTTTTTATTTTTTGATATCTTTCTTTTTAAATTTAGTTATTAACATTTTAGTTATATTTACACTATATGAATTTTATTAATCAAAATTCTAATTATAAATATTATAATTTTCTTATTATTAAATATAAATTATTATAACTATTTAATATTTAAAATTATAATCGAAGAATTATTATTATCTAAGTAATGGATTATGATTTTCATATTCTTATCAGGACATTTAATTAAATGATTGTTCATAAACTAAATGGTTATAATACAGTTTAGTTTATGAAAATTTAGTATAAAAAAATTAATTAAATGATTTTTCATAAATTAAATGGTTATATTTAGTTTAGTTTAGGATAATTCTTATTAGAAAAAATTTAATCTACGAGCAACCATTTAAATAGTTTTCCTAATAAGAATATAAGAATTATATTCCATTACTTAGCTAATAATAATCCTAATGGATTATAAGAACAACCATATTCTTATTTAAAAATTTTAAATGGATAATACCAATACAATAGCCAAGGATTAAAAGGAGAAATAAAAAATACATTTCAGGAAAAATATATAATTAGAATTTTGATTAATAACTAAAATTTTAATAACTAAATTTTAAAAGAAAGATATCCAAAAAAATAAAAATCAAGCAATAGATTAAACTATATATATTTTTTGTATCAAAAAATAATTTTGTTTTACATATAATACAAAATAACAACTATTAAAAATGTCGGTAGATTTTTTAACAAAATAATAAAAGGCTTGTCTTTTTTTCCCCTTTAAATGAATTCAAAAATCATAATTTTTTAATAAATATTAAACTATTTTAATTATATTGAAAAATAATTATAAATATTAAAGTATTTATATTATCTAAATACTTAAACTAAAAAATGAAAAGAAATAAAAAAATAAAAAAGAAATAGGAAAACAAAATAATATTGCTAGAGGGAATCGAACCTTGAACCTCAAAGACAAAACCAACTTATTACCTAGCCTTTAACCATTGCACCACTCAGTACATTAAATTCTATTCATTTGATTTTCTTGCGCCATGTGTGTAAAAGGCTTTATACATATAGCGCCCTTTAAAATGGCGCTATATATATATATATTTTGGGCACTAAGTTTTTTTTTCCATGCATTTCGATCGTTTGAGTAAAAAAAAATCGTATTTTGGTTCCGGACTCCAACAAACTCCTGTCCGAGGGAATGGGTTGACTTTTCAGTCCACATCCTGCTCAATTGACTTTTCTTGTATGCCCCTAACATTACTAGAAATTGCCTTTTGAAAAATTCTAGAACAAATGACCAACCATTTATGACTTTTCTTTATGGGTACTAGTTCTACAATATTGAATTATTTTTCTGTTTTTCGATTTTTCACAACTTTAAATTTTATATTTATTAAAATTAATTAACCATGTATTACTTTCTGGGAAAATATATGCAATAAGAGTCAATACTCTTACATTCACTACAAAATTTATATCAAAAGTTAAATATCGATAGAGACATATTTGGTTCAAATCCCACCAAAAATATTAATTTCTTCACATCTATTCAAGTTACCCTTTGCACGTGGCTAGATATCTAGTGAAATTAGTCAGTTGCACATAAACTAGCCCGGATAATTTTTTTTAGATGGAACCATAATGTAACGACACAGCCGGTCGTTTTGAGCATTTGCATTCCGTTCAGTTATTTAAAATCTTGAGAAGTATCATATGATGTATTATGACTTGTGTGAATCGTCGGTTTTGATTTTCAGGTTTTCGGAGGTGATTTGGAAGAATGAATTTCATGTTTGAAGCTTTAAGTTGGAAGAGTTGACCAAATTTGACTTTTTAGCATTTGACCTCGGGCGTATGCCCGGATTTGCATTTGGATATTTCTAGAAAGATTCGGCACTAATTGGCGAAAGTTGAAAATGAGAAGGTTTGGAAAGTTCATAAGTTTGACCAGAAGTTGCCTTTAAGGCTATCGGGTTCGGATTTTGGTTTTCGGAACTTGGAATAGGCCTGTTTCATTATATGGAACTTGCCTGCAAAATTAGGCATCATTTGGAGTTGATTTGATATGGATCGGACGCTTGGTTGCGATTCTATAAGTTCTTGAAGTTTGTTGTGATCCTCATGCGTTTGGCGTCTGATTTGTGGTTTTAGAGGTTATTTTGATGTTTTGATAGCGCGAGCGAGTTCGTGTTGTATTTTTGGACTGTGTGGGTGTTTGGTTTGGAGTTTTGGGGGCTCGGGTGAGTTTCAGATTTGTTTCAGAATGATTTTTATGATTTTTGAGTGTTGGTGCTGGTTTCATCACTTTGCGATGTTTTTGTCGCAAATGGGACTATCGCAATTGCGAAGTGGCCCTCGCATTTGCGAAAGTGGACTGCTGGGGAAAAAATCGCATTTGCGAAGAAATTCCTCGCATTTGTGAATTGTGGTTGTTTGTTTTTGCGAGGATCCCTGCCGCTTTTGCGAGGCAACTGTCTTCGCATTTGCGAAGAATTGGGTCGCGAATGCGACCTTAGCAGAAACTCTCCTGGTTCGCTTTTGCGATGAATTGTCCGCTTTTGCGGGGTTCGCAAAAGCGAATCCCATGTCGCAAATACGACATCCGCATCCTGCATATAGCTGGGTAATTTCGAGACTTAGCTTCATTTTGTTATATTTTGAATCCTAGCCTCGATGGGAGGCGATTTTGTGGAGGGATTTTCATACCAAACCATAGGGTAAGCACCTCTAATCAATTTTTAAATTATATTTTATGATTATACATTAGATTTAACATCAAATTTATGAGAATCTAGGGAAAAAATTGGGGATTTTGTCTAAGTTTTGGAAAAATAAAAATTTGAGATTTGAAAGTCGAATAGGACTCGAATTTAGAAATAAAATGCGTATATAGACTCGTGGGCCTATGGGTGGTCAAGACCTACCCTTGGACCCAAGTTTGGACCGGACAAGCCCGAAGTTGACTTTTGTTAACTTTTTAGAAATTGTATAAAGGTCATAGCTTTATTAATTAAAATTATTTTCCCTTGCATTGTGTGATGTATTTAAGTCGTATTTGGCTAGATTGGGTCGGGCGGAGGTGAATTTGTAAATGAAAAAGCTAAATTGAGTATTTAGTTGGCCGAATTGAGGTAAGTGTCTTGCCTAACCTTGTTAATGTAATTTTTCCTACTATTTGACATTATTTGCTACATGCGGGGGTGATACATATATGAGGTGATGAGCATATATGCATGTGCCAGGGTTAATCAAGCTCAGGGGTAAATTATGCTATAAATCGTGCCTTGTAGAATTACATGACCTTCTTGCTTCATGTCTTACTTGACTTCTAGATACTAAAAATATGGAATTAAATGTTATAAACCAAGATTTAGTTTATTATAACCTGATTAAAATTTGACGAAATATTGAGAAACACTAATGTGTCTAATTCGGTCATCATTATACTTAATCACTAATACATTGCTACGACCATTACTCTTGAGATATTAGATTCTATACTTGAGTTGAGAATTGTTCAAATAGTTGAACAATAAGGTTCCTGAGAGGTTATTGGATTTTTGTCGGCTTGAAGGTTGTGATTGAGATTCATTTGGAACATTCGTTTAACCACTCTCCTTGATGTTATTTATGCTTCCTACCTTGATTGTCATTGATATACATGTGCTTGGTGAGGAAGAGTGTAAAGCACGAAGGGTGATGTCGTGCCATAGTATATATATATATATTATCGTGTGAGGGAGAGTATAGAGTACGAAGGGTGATGCCGTGCCATAGTATATATATTATCACGTGAGGGAGAGTGTAAAGCACGAAGGGTGATGCCGTGCCATTGTGTGTGTGTGTGTGTGTGT